TTCACCGCAGATAGAAGTAGTTCCAGCTGGGGATTTGATCAGAAACATGAGATTATTCTAAAAAGAGGGCTCTGGAAGAGTATCTATCTCTAGAATGGAAGAGTATCTTTGTGATCATAAGGTGAACACATTTCTTAGGACACAACAGTCCCACAGCTGTCACCCACAGACATCCATGAAGGCAGGCCACAGAGTGGAAAGAGATAGGAGTGTGTGTGTGGCCAGCGGGGGACTCCTACCCTGAATGTAGGGAGAGCTCTTCCCAGTGCGCACAGACAGATGCACAGTAGGCCAGTGGGCTGCTGGGCCTCCAGGTGGCACATGTGTAGGTGTTCAGTCTCCAACCACGCAAGCCAGAACCTCCACAGAACATCAGTGCTCACCCGCATTGAGCAGGCTGGGTGGTGTCAGCGAGGGGAGCCAGAGCTTATTCACCGACGACAGGGGTAGTGTGAATGCTGGCCCTGCTTCAGAAAGGTGCCCGGTGACCTTTGCTGTGGCGAAACGTGCACGGACTGCATGAGCGCAGTCCCGCCCCATGCACACAGGGCCGTGTTCGTACATATGCAGCAGCAGGTGCAGGTGTGTGCTCGCACCTGTGCCTTGTTGCTCAGCGTGGGGAGAGCCCCAGTGCCCCACATATGCAAGGGATGCTGTTACCCTGCTTTGTTACTGAATGTGAGTGGACTGTGGGGTGTGAGGCGAGTCTCACCAGCGTTGAGTCCCGCTAAAGAAGCCAGACACAGTGCACACAGTGGGTCCTCTGAAAGGTGCACGGCGGGAAGCCGCTCTGCGGTGAGTCATCAGCAGCGAATTGTGGAGAGATGTGATGGGCAAGCAGCTCCGGAGCACCCAGTCTGTGGGGTACAGTCACAGGACAGGGCACAACATGCAGTTAATTCTATTCTTTAAATAAAAAATTATTCCTGGGATTGCTGATGTCATGGGAAGCAGGAGACAAAGACTTTAACAAAGATTACAGGATATATATTGAGAAATTGGTTGAACAGAAATTGGTCATCTGCAACTGATGGGACTTGAGAGTATGGAGGAGCCCAGCATCTTGCCTTGGGAGGGCAGTGGGAATTAGGAAGAGACCGCGAGACCTCTGCCCGGTCCAGAGTCAGGTGACAGAGCTGTGATCCCTGCTGGCTGGCTTGAGCTCTTGGGCAGAAAGCAGTGTCTTGCCTGCTTCGCCCAGGAATGTGTGGGTTCTGGGGTTGCCCCCTTCCAGAGGGACACAGGCTGGCCCCAGGCAGAGTGGAGGCTCTTGGGGGCCATGTGGGTCATGTGCCCCCATGTCTGTGTGCGTTGAGCTGGACTGTCCCACTGTGGCCGTCTTGCAGGGGAGCGGAGCAGGTGAGCTGTGGTTCAGCCAGGTGCAGTGGTGGACACCTGTGCTCCAGCTACTGTGTTGAGGGGGCAGGGTCCCAAGCCTGAGCCAGCCTGGGCAACGAGGGAGGACCCCACCTCAGAAAACAGCAGATACAAGCCCCTGCTGCAGAATCACATTTTCCCCAAAGTTGGTGGGCATTTTTTGTTTGCAAGCTGTACCATACCGAACAAAACAAAACTTTTAAAAAAGCATGACAGTTCCATGTGTTGGAAAGAACTTAGAAAGAGTGGCATTCAAATGCAGCAATGTACATGTCAGCTTGTACAACCTCTTTGGCTTCATCTTTTTTTTTGGTACTGGGGATCAAACTCAGGTCCTTGTGCTTGCAGAGCAGGCGGCAGAACCACTGAGCTAAATCCCCGGCCCTGGTCTCATCTTTCTTTTTTTTTCTGGTACCAGGGTTTGAACTCAGGACCTTGCGCTTGCCAGACAGGCTCGGTACCACTGAGCTTCATCCCCAGCCCGAGCCTCTTTGGAAAACCCTTTGGCAGCAGCTACTAATACTTGGACATTTGCTGCCCCTGACCCAGCAGTTTCACCCCTAGACCCAAGAAAAATGAGTATAGCTGTGAAATGTGAGTAGGAATGTCCCTGGAAGCTTGGGAACTGGTTCGCAGGTCCAGCTGTGTCCGTGGACCAGAGCAGCCATGGTTCGTACACCGCAGCTCTAAGTCCACTTGGTCACTAGACCTGTGTGATGGCCAGTCCTGATGGTGAGGCCCTGTTCCCAGCAGCTGCTCTTAGCGCTGGCCTTGTGTGGGGAGCGGCTGTTAGAGGAGGCAGTGAACCTCCTGCAGAGGCAGCTCCTTCCGATCTGTCCTGGCTCAGAGGCCTAACTGCTGCCCCCTGGGGGGAGCTTCTGGGTCTGTGAGGGCTTCCAAGGTGGAGCAGCTGTACAAACACACACTGGAGCGGGCGAGCACCATCAGCAGAGGTGGGTGACTGTGGCCTGTTTGTAGAAAGGGTCATGGATGCCACTGAGCCGGGAGCCGAGTGTGTGATGCTTAGTCAGGCAGCCAGGAAAGGAGCCTCTGAGGAAAGGGAAGCATTTTATTCCTGAGGTGGCGATTACACATGTATGAATTCATCGAGCGCTGAATTTAGGGTTTGTGCCCCTTAACTACCTCAATATATGTATTTTGTGGCTTATTTTGCAAAGCAGTGAAAAGGTATTACTATAATTTTATTTTCACTAAATTTGTTTCATTAAAATATGTGTAGTCTGAGGTGACCTACTGCCCTGCAGTCTACCTGTGTTAGGCCCTGGGACGTGTGGAGAAGGGGCTGGTCCCCCACGCCCTGCTGAGTTCCCTCGGGTCTCTTTGGGGCTGGGTGGCTGCACAATTCATAGTAACAGAAGATGAGAGGTCCGTGACACCCGAGGTGCTGTAGACCCCACTGGGGCCAAATAGCATGTGTGTCCTTTCATTCAGGAAAAGCTCTAGGAAGTGAAGGAAGCTGCAGGACTCTGAAAACAGTCCGTGAAAGAGCTCCAGGAAGCCAGAGTGGTGCCAGCTTGTGATGGGTCTTGAGCCACACGTTCCCAGAGGCGGGCCTTTCTGGGAGGCTCTGGCTTTCAGCTAATAAAGCCTGAGTCTGTTCCTTGTGGGTGTCAGCTCGGGATGAGCCAGTGGCTGCTGCTAACTTGGCTGTTCTGACCCCCAGAAAGGCCACTGCTGTGTGTCGTTCTGAAGTGGCACCCAGGGGCAGACTGACCAGAAGAGCGGCCCTCAGAGACCGGAAGGGAGAGCGGGTTTATTCGCTAGCTAGGGGCCCAGCGGAAGTCCGCTTCCAGAGTCTGAGCCCCGCTTCTGAGTTTGTTTCCATTTATCTGTTCTTCAGCCAGGGCGGGGAGCAGGCGGGATTTTACAGCAGCAGAACTTAGCAAAGGGCAGGGAGGTGGGGTAGTGTTGCTTTTACAGTTTATCTTTGAGACACAGGGAGATAGGGAGGTACAAGTGGGTGTTGTCTCAGCAGTTCATCTTTGGGAACCGTGACTTGGAGGGGTTAGCAGGAGGCCGAGCCCTGAGACCCGTCAGCCTTGAGACCTCAGCCTCTGCTTTGCCCTTTGTTCCTTTGCATTTTATTTCCACTTCCTGAGTGGTGCTTGCTCCATGGAAATGTGTGCTGCCGTCTTGGACTGGCTGTGGAGCGCGCCTTGGCTGGCTGAGCAGGCTCTGACTGACTGCGCTGTCCTGGCCCCCCTGCCCCGCGTTTGTCTATGTCAGATGACTGTGACCCCAGGGTGCTGTCTCAGCTCTGTATGAGCGTCCTGTTGTCCCAAGAGGTCTTTTTGTCCCCAGGCTTGTGCAGGAGAGTGCATGTTCACAAAGGCCTCATGGAACCAGGATCAGGGTGTCTTAGAAGAACCCCCACCTGTCCCAGTTTGAAGAACGATGCCGCTGCTGGCTAGTCCCATGCTGTGTGCATTTTCCCCTGTGCTGGTATTTTTTCAGTGTATGTAAGCAGTTTATCATGTCCTTCAGAAGTTGGGGATTTTGCTCTCACGGGAACATTGAGGGTACTGTGGTTCTCTCCAGTGGGCTCTGACCCTTCACTTATTGGTGCTCGGAGTGTCTCCAGGGAGGCCTCCAAAGAGCCCATTGTCAGCACAAGGTGGCCTTCACGTGTCCACTGATGTGCAGCCCCTCTCGTGTCGCCGCCTTGACTGGTATCAAGTAGTGTAGTCACCCAAACCAAGATGCCAGTCGTGAGTACATGGTGCAGTCAGCGCCACCAGGGAAAAGCTGGCATTGCCGTTTACTGTAGGAGTGGCTGCCGGTGATGGTGAGGCATGTTCCTGCTTCAGAGATGGTAGATAGACCATGAGCAAGTACTTTTAAAGCAGTCCAATCAGTAGATGCTTTTATATTTCTGCTAATGTAACTTTTTTGTCTTTTAAATGGAGAGCTGGGTTATACGCAGAGCTGGAGAGGATAGTCATGAACTTCCCACTGTCCATCCCTGCTGGGACACTCCTGGGGTGAATCCTGAGTGTTGCTTTGCATTTGTTTATGGATATTCCAGCACGTACCTGAGCAACAGGAGTTCCTTTGGACAGGCGTACACACCTGGACACATCTAGATCAGCTCTCATTCCCCAGTTCTGTGAAATGGCTACTGCCTGCCTTTCTGCCGTTGGACGTGGTCTGTCTTAACGTAATTTTGTTTTGCGGATCCGGGGATTGAACTCAGGACCTTGCGCTTGCCAGACAGGCGCTGGTGCCACTGAACTAAACCTCCGGCCCCATGGTCTGTCTTAACTCCACAGTTCCACACAGTTACCCGAGGTCTTCATGTCCTCGCTCTGAACGAACAAAGATGGGAGCAGCTGTCGCTTGGCAGTGAGAGCCAGTCTTTCTGTAGGCTGCTTTTCCTTAATCAGGTGCAGATTATGCAACTAAGCTGTCTGTGCTGAGTCACTCTTCTCGTCAAATACATGCACTTCAAAGATGCACGTGGACAAGGCCACCCCCTCTCTCCCGTGTGGATCGGGTAGTGGCTGCAGCCAGGTGGACTGGGGTACGGGCTGCTGAGGGCCGAGGTTGAGCACCCCTGCCGGAGCACGCAGCCTGTCCTCACTGCCTGCGCTTGTGCTGCACAGGTCTCCGTCCCGCCGGGCGCACTGGACTGCTGGGTGTTCCTGAGCTGTTTGGAGGTGCTGCAGAGGATAGAAGGTTGCTGTGACCGGGCGCAGATAGACTCCAACATCGCGCACACGGTGGGGCTGTGGAGCTATGCCACAGAGAAGGTACCTGCTGCCTTGAGGGAGTGCTCTCGTGGTCCCCTTGGGTGCCTGCGACCTTGCAGCATGTCTGGATGTGGCTGTGGAGGCCGTGGCTCCTGCTGCTTCCAGTTCACTTGGAGGCAGCACACACTCACCTGCTTGTGCCAGGGGCTCCACGCCTGACTGGGCACGACAGCAGGCCCCACCGTATGTGCTCGTGGGTGTGTGCAGCAAGGGGCTGCAGGGCTGGGTTCGGATGTTTGTATTTAAATTCCTGAGTTCTCTGCTGACTCTTGTGGCAAAGTAATTAAAATTTGGGTTTACTTCAACAGTTAAAGTCTTTGGGCTACCTGTGTGGCCTTGTGTCAGAAAAAGGACCTAACTCCGAAGATCTGAACAGGACAGTGGACCTTTTGGCAGGTCTGGGAGCCGAGCGACCTGAAACAGGTACTGCTGTCACTGAAGCATATAAGGACTGGATTTTTGGAAAGTATTGTGTGAAGGATTAGAGCATTTCACGAATATAGTAATTGGAAACATAGACATAATAATGTAGTTTTGGTTGGTGTGGCTTTGTTTGAAATTTCCACAGGATTGAGATGAGAGCCAGGTATGGTGGCTCAGGCCTGTAATACCAGTACTCTGGGAGGCTGAGGCAGGAGGGTCACAAGCTTGAGCCCTGACTGAGTAACATAGTGACACTTTGTCTTAAAAAAAAATTTAAAAGTCTGGGTATGTAGCTCAGTACAAAAACCCTGGGTTCAGTCCCCAGTACTGCAAGAAAAAATACGATGAGGTCATTTCCTGCAGTGTCTGAAGGTGAGTAGAGCGTGGCTGTGCAGATGTGAGTGAACTCATGAGGACTCTTCTCTTTCTCTTAAAGCCAGCACAGCTCAGAGTCCGTATAAGAAACTGAAGGAAGCGCTGTCGTCAGTGGAAGCTTTTGAGAAGCACTACTTAGTAAGTGTCAGGAGCCTTCTGCATAGCCCTGGGAGCAGCTCTGCCTCCAGGAGGCTTTGCTCTCTGCAGGGCCTTTGACTTCGGGTGTACCACCACTTGAGACCCCTTCCCAGGACTTTGCTAGGTCCTCAGGTATCCTAGGGAGTTGTGAACAAAGATGGGGCAGTTGCTCATCAAATGTTCATTAGTACCCCATGCCGCAGTTAGACACGAAGGCATCTCTGAGTACCTGTGACTTTTCAAGTGGATTTACCCCTTCAAGGACTGGAAGAGAGGAGCCCGAGTTCTTTAATTTGCGAAAGGGGGACCCTGTGCACTTGTGCAGAGCTGTGGTGCTTGATGTTGAAGGCTCCAGATTAGGGAGATCACACAGAAGCGTGGGTGGAGTTGTGGGGTCTTAGCCCGGCTGCCAGGCCACGCCCCACCGAGCGCCCCAGAGTGTGCTGGGATGGGGTCCCTGTCACACAGACAGTGGGGAAATGTCACAGCACCTGAGTGCGGAGGGGCTCTGAATAGTTACGTATTCTATGTTGGGTGAGTTCAGGGATTTCTCTTACTGACATGCTTCCTGATATCTTCACAAATCACTGGCTCTGTGGAGACTGCATACTACAGAAAATCAGCACAGAAATAGATGTCAAGTAAAGAATACTATGCTAATGACGTCGTTTGTGTCATCTTTGGGTAAATAAGATTGATCTAGTGTTAAAAATGCAAGTACATAATTCTGCCCCTCCCCCTTTTCACAGGATTTGTCTCATGCTACCATTGAGATGTATACGAGTATTGGAAGGATTCGGTCTGCCAAGTTCGTTGGAAAAGATCTGGCAGAATTTTACATGTAATTGATCTTGAACTTTTCATTGAATGTTACACATTTCATGCATGCAGCGAGAGAAGTTGTATGTATGGAGTTAATGTAAAGTATACATAAATTTGTGGGTTGAAAAATATAGCATCTGAACTAGTCATAATTTTTAAAAAATTTTTCTGAAACTGAAATGGAGAGTTTTCAGTTGTTACCTTTAACAACTGATACTGGTCTTTGAAGTTTTCATATTTAAGTTCAATTTATGTACACACAGAAAATGCTGTTAAGTCTGTCATGAGGAGGAATTAAGAGTCCACTCTGAGGGCAAGTTCAACCGAGTGTGTGTGGTGTTTCTCTAGTTGATGACATGTTTCTTAGGGTTGTAACCATCAAGGCCAGGGATGAGAAAGAGCCACGTGTGTTGGATCCTTGTGAAGGGGTTGGCTGAGGGCGGTAGGGTGTGTGGATGGTGTGTAGAGGCGTGTCCGTGTGTGTGGATGGTGCGTGGAGGTGTGTCCGTGTGTGTGTAGATGGTGTGTGGAGGCGTGTCCATGTGTGTGGATGGTGTGTGGAGCCGTGTCCGTGTCTGTGGATGGTACGTGGAGCCATGTCTGTGTCCGTGTGTGTGGATGGTACGTGGAGGCATG